CCTCAGCCTCCTGAGTGCTTCAATTATAGGCATGTGCAACCATGCCCTGTGGGCTCTGCTTTCTCTCCTTGGCTTCCTCCCAGTCTCGATGGCAGAATACTAAGGAGGCAAGTTTTTTTTTGTTTTGTATTTTTGTTTTTTTTCTGGTACCGGGAATGGAACTCACGACCTTGCGCTTGCCAAGCAGGCGCTGTGCCACTGAGCTAAATCCCCAGCCCCCAAGAGGCAGTTTTTACTAAAAGAGGCAGTTTTTACTATGAAGTGAGCTATCTGGAGCAAAAGCTATCTTTTGTAACTTTTTAATATCTAGGGCTGACTGGTTAATAAACGTGCACAAAAATATCAAACAGCTGTTTTTCAACATGCAACTGTTGAACATCTTCCAGTGGCTGAGAATACATTCCAAAAGTGTGAGAGACTTTGACATTAAGCTCTGCATGTCTCCGTCAAAGGATCTCAATGAAAGACCTCCAAATCATATAGGGGAAAGAAATTCCCAATGTGCTAGATGTCTGGTACGATTTCATGTTCTCTAAAATGGCAAAATAAATTCTAGGAAAAAATGGAGGTTAAGAGCAGAATATATTTATTGGGGGAAAGAAAGCTTCTGTCTGAGAAAGAGACAGAAGGGGTCCTGAGTGGGTTGTGTAGATTGGGTCTTTAAAATGGGAGGACTCTGATTGCTTTTGAGTTGGTTTTTTTTTTTTTTTTTTTTTTTCTTTTTGAGACAGGGTCTCGCTACGCAGTTCAGGCTGGCCTTGAGCTCACTTTGTAGCCCAGGCTGGTTTCAAATTTGTAGGCGGTCCTCCTGCCTCAACCTCCCGACTGCTGGGATTATAGGCATGCGCCACCACACCCGGTTTGAGTTCTAGGTACTGGTCCTTAGTATGAGGAACAGCTGACAAAAATTTTTTCCCACATTGTGGGTTATTTCTTCACTCTATTGGTGGTTTCTCTTGCTGTGCAAAAGCTTTTTGTGTATGTGTGCAAAAGCTCTTCAATAAAATGAGATCCCAGTTGTTGGTTCATTGTGATAGTTCCTGTGCAATTGGGGTTTTGTTCATAAAGTCTTTGCCTACACGAATGTCCTCAAGAGTTCTACCTATTCTATCTTCCAGCAGATTTGGTGTTTCTGTTTTAATATTTAGATCTTTGATCCCTTTTGATTTTAGTTTAGTGCATAGTGATAAACATGCGTCTAGTTTTAATCTTCACCATGTAGGAAGCCAGTATTTCCAGCACTATTTATTAAAGAAGTTATCTTTCAGGCAGGGTGCAGTGGTGCACCTCTGTAATCCCAGCACTCGGAAGGCTGAGGCAGGATGATTGTTGCGAGTTCAAGACCAGCCAGGGCTACAAAGTGAGCTCAAGGCCAGCCTGAACTGCATAGGGAGACCCTGTCTCAAAAAGACAAAAAAAAAAAAAGTTTCTTCCAGTGAAGGTATTTGTATTCTTTGTCAAAGATAAGGTGGCTGAGTGTGTTTGGAGTTGTTTCTGCTTTTTTTTTTTTTTTGTTACTGGGAATCAAACTCATGACCTCGCACTTGCCAGGCACGTGCTGTGCCACTGAGCTATATCCCCGGCCCATTTGTGCATCTTCTAATCTGTACAATTGATCCTTGGGTCTGTTTTTTTGCTGGTACCATGCTGGCTTTGTTTTGTTTTGTTCTGGGTTTTGTTTTTTTTTTTTTTTTTGGTCTTTTTGAGACAGGGTCTCACTATGCAGTTCAGGCTGGCCTTGAGCTCACCTTGTAGCCCAGGCTGGTCTCGAACTTGCAATGATCCTCCTGTCTCAGTCTCCCGAGTGCTGGGATTACAAGCGTGTGCCACCACGCCTGGCTGTGTTTTGATCTGTTTTGTTTTGATCACAGTAGCTCTGTAGTATAATTTCAAGTCAGGGGTTGTGATGCCCTCTGTTTCACCTTTGTTGCCCAGAATTGCTTTTGCTATTCTAGGTCTCTTCTGGTTCCTAATGAATTTTAGGATTGTTTTCTCTAATTCTGTGAGGTATGCTGTTGGACTTTTGATCAGGATTGCATTAAATCTATATAACAATTTTGGAAGTGTGGCCATTTTCATTATATTGGTTCTTCCTACCCAAGAGTAAGGGATATCTTTCCATTTTATTTTATTTTCTTTCTTTTTTTTGGTACCGGGAATTGAACTCTGGACCTTGCACTTGCCAGGCAGGCGCTTATACCACTGAGCTATATCCCCAGCTCCATTTTCTGATATCCTCTTCAATCTCCTTTTTCAGAGTACTGTAGTAGTTTTTTGTTTTGGGTTTTTTTTTTTTTTGAGACAGGGTTTTCCTATGCAGTTCAGGCTGGCTTGAACTGGTTTGAACTCACCTTGTAGCCCAAACTGGGTTTGAACTTGTAATGATCCTCCTGCCTCAGCCTCCACAGTGTTGGGATTACAGGCACATGCCACCACGCCTGGGTACTGTAGTTTTCAATGTAAAGGTCTTTTACTTCCTTTGTTAGATTGATTCCTGGGAATTTCATTTTTGGGGGGCTATTGTGAAAGATTTTGTTTCCCTAATTTCTCTCAGTGAGTTTGTTATTTGTGTACAGGAGGCTATCGATTTTTGAATGTTGACTTTGTATCCGGCTATGCTACTGAATTTGGTTATTAATTCTATAAGTCTTTTGGTGGAGTTTTTGGGGTCTTCTGTGTAGAGTATCATGTCATCTGCATATAATGGTAATTGAATGACTTCCTATTATTCCTTTTTGTTTCTGTCTCGTCTAATTGCTCTGGCTAAAGTTTCAGGAACTATACTGAATAAGTGTGGTGACAATGGACATCCTTGTCTTGCTCCTGGATTTTATTTTATTTTATTTTATTTGTCTTTTTTGAGACAGGGTCTCCCTGTGCAGCTCAGGCTGGCCTTGAGCTCACTTTGTAGCCCAGGCTAGCCTCGAACTCACAACAATTCTTCTGCCTCAGCCTCTCGAGTGCTGGGATTACAGGCTACCATGCCCTGCTGCTCCTGATTTCAGAGTGAAAGCTTTGCCGGGTGTGGTGGCGCATGCCTGTAATCCCAGCACTCGGGAGGCTGAGGCAGGAGGATCCTTGTGAGTTCGAGACCAGCCTGGGCTACAAAGTGAGCTCAAGGCCAGCCTGAGCTGCATAGCAAGACCCTGTCTCAAAAAGATTAAAAAAAAAAAAATAGAGCGAAAGCTTTCAGTTTTTGTCCATTTAGTATGATGTTGGCTGTTGGTTCATCATAAATGGTTTTTATCAGATTGAGATAAAGACCATCTATTCCAATTTTCTGTAGGGTTCTTATCATGAATATGTGTTGGGCTTTGTGAAATGTTTTTTCATCTATCGAGATGATCATGTGATTTTTGTCCTTGGCTTTGTTAATTTGGTGTATTACACTTATTGATTTGCAGATATTGAATCATCCCTGCTTCCCTGGGTTGAATCCTACTTGGTCATGGTGTATAATCTTCTTCATGATTCACTGAATTCTGTTTGCCAGTATCTTAGTGAAGAGTTTTGTGTCTATGTTCATTAGGGAGATTGGTCTGTAGGTTTTTTTTGTTGTTCGATCCTTCTCTGGTTTTGATAGCAGCATAGTGTTTGCTTCCGGGAATGAATTTAGGAGTATTGCTTCCCTTTCAATTTCATTAGAGGGTTTGAGAAGTAGCAGCATTAGTTCTTTTCTAAACTTCTTGTAGAATTCAGCAGTGAATCTCTCTCAGGGCCTGGGCTCTTCTGTGTGCCTCCTGCCAGCTTAAACTCAGCTCTTTGACCTGCTGCCAACTTGAACTCACCCTGACACTGGGAGCTGCCAGATGGAGCCAGCCCACAGCGGCTCTGAGTTCTGAGCTCTCTTGGCCCCTCTCCAAGATGGCTCCCACCAGTCGCCCTCTAGTGGGGGACAGCTGAGCCCGAATAACTCACCAGCCACTGCAGTCCACTGCATCCACTGCTCTGCTCCACTGGTGTGTTTCTCCATGGAGACCTCTGGGTCATCTGTAGTTACTGTGCATCTGCAGATTTGAGGTGCCCCTCCCATGAAGTGTGTCAGGGCTCAGAGAGGAAGTGCTGCCTGATACCTCCTTCCACGTTGAGGTCTTTCTCTTCACTCTCTCTGCAGGGCTCAATTCTTGCTTCAGATCCTTCCTGGGTTCTGGGAACCACTTCCCTCTGCTCACATTGCTATAGTCCAGTGTCTGGACACCAAATCTCAGAGAGGCTCTTTCTCTGCTGCTCTCCACTCCTGTACCTGCCTTGAAGTCTAACAGGGACTAATTGTAAGTACTCTGAATGGACAATATTTATTTCTTGTTTTACTGGAGAGGTCTATTGGAGGATTTATTTTATCTTTCTGATTGTTAGCAATGTTAGTATTTTAGTCAAATCAGCATAAATTCTAAAGTATTTCCCACTGAGTTTTTTTGTTTTGTTTTGTTTTGTTTTGAGACAGGACCTTCATATGTAGTTTGGGCCGGCCTTAAACTCACTATGTAGCCTAGGCTGGCTTTGAACTTGCAGCAGTCTTGCCTCAGCCTCCCAGGTGCTGACATTACAGTAATGTGCCATAAGGCTTGGCTCTACTGAGTTGTTTTAGGTAGATTATTGAGCAAAACAAGAGCCCATATATTACCTTTATTTAAATCTCTCTCTCTTCCTCTTTTAGTTACAATTTCTCTGTCACTCCCCCCTCCACTTTTTTTTTAAAAAAAAATACCATACAGGGAACTGAACCTAGGGCCTTCTTACTGAGGTTATGCTGCAGAATTCAGAACCAGACCAAATGGAAGACAACAGCACCAGAGGCAGTTTGGAGGGTAGCTTTATTTCACTAGCGAGCTAGTGGAAATCTCAGTTCCAAATCACTAGCCCTGTCTTGGGGTTTTACAGTCACATATAGCTTTTCAGAAGTAGGTACAAAAAGGCCGATAACGTAACATTCTATGGTGGGTTACACCTGTCTTTGTCATTAATTGCTAGGAGGAATTTACTCTTACAGGAACTAATAAAGTCACTCTCATATAACATGGGTGAAGAATCAGTCATTGCCCGAGACTGGGCAGAGGTGTCCTTAAGGCGATACCTCTCTAGGACTGGAAAGTAAGCAAAACACCACTGTCTGACTAAGTTGCACTTATGTCGCAGCTGGCATCTGGAGCGTCAAGGCTCGTTACATTTTTTGTTCCTTTGGTACCGGGAATGGAACTCAGGACCTTGCACTTGCCAGGCAGGCACTGTGCCGTTGAGCTATATCCCCGGCCCGAGGCTTGTTACGTTTTGTAGCTCTCTAATTATGAGAATCGGCTGTGCTTCCCAGCCTCATCCTTGAACAGTGTTAAAAAAAAAAAAAAGAAATACACTGGTGTTAGAATTATAAGATGTAAGGGGTCCGGGATATAGTTCAGTATTATAAGCACCTGCCTGGCAAGCACAAGGTCCTGAGTTCGATTCCCAGTACCAAAAAGAAAAAAAGATTTAAAATTTTCTCTACATTTAAAATAGCCTCTACAATACATCCTCTGCCCTTTTTATTTTTTAAAACAGGTCTCACTAAGTCTAAAAGTTAGCCAGACACACTTTAAACTGTGGATCCTCCTGCCTCAGCCCCACAGAGATTTGGGATTACAGACGTGTGCCACCACACCTAGCAATAATTTATTTATTTTTTTCCCGGTACCGGGAATCGAACTTATGACCTTGCACTTGCCAGGCAGGCGCTGTGCCGCTGAGCTATATCCCCAGCCCCCAATAATTTATTTCTTGATGTCAGAATAGTTTCTTTTGGTCACCTGTAAGAGTATTTTAGCTGAGTGTGGTGGCGCACGCCTATAATGCCAGCACGCTGGAGGCTTAGGCAGGAGGATCACTGAGAGTTTGAGGCCAGCCTGGGTTACATAGTGAGTTTAAGGCCAGCCCGAACTACATACCAAGACCCTGTTTCAAAACAAACAGCAAGAACAAAAACCACAATAGAATATTTGAAAACTAATTTACTATATATGAAGTCTGCAATTATATCCAGTGCATTACTGATTATATTCTTGACAGGAGAAATTTCCAATCGGGTCTGCTTGCAGATTTTCACATTTGTTGATGTGGAGAATTTTCCACAGACTTGCTTCTGGCGCGGTACATTTCAAACCTTGTTTCTCATCCACCACCCACGTGGCAGCTGCCTGGCTCAGTGACACTCGCCAGGGCCTTCAGATTATTCCTGGAAGTCATTCCTGCCTTAGGACAGTGAGTGGTAACCCCGGACTACAGTGAAAGCCGCACCACCTGGATCCTAACTCAGCCTTTGCAGACCCTGAGTCCCTCAGCCTCTCCGGAACTCTGGGAGGTCGCCAGAGGAAGAGACAGTGGCCTCCCCACCTCCCACCCCCCAACTTGAATCCAGGGCTTTGCACACCTTAGACAAGTGCTTCAGCATCGAGCTCAGCCCCAGCCCCAGCCCCTAAGACAGTGGTCCTGGGCAAGAACAGTCCAAATCATTCTATTTCACTTTTGTCTTGGTTTTACAAAGTTTTTATTTTTTTGTTGTTTCTTGAGACAGAGTCTCACTCTACAGTGAAGGCTGGCCTTGCATTCGCCCATGTAGCCCAGGCTGGGCACAAACTCATGGAGATCCTCCGGCCTCAGGGTTTCGTGTTTTGAGACAGGGTGTCCTTATGTAGCCCAGGCTGGCCTTGAACTCACCATGCTCCTGCCTCAGACTTTGAAAGTGCTGGAATGACCTGTCTGCACCACCACTGCCCAT